AAATATTAATAATTTTGAGGCAAATTATATATACAGTGGGTACGGAAAGTATTCAGACCCCTCTTTTCTTTTTTTTCTTGTTTTTACTTTTCACTTTTTTCCCTATGGTATTAAAAAAGGGGGAAGGGGGTTCAAACCTTTGTCACTTTTTTTCACTCCTGATGTGTTTGTATCCTTCCATGCACAAGCTAGTAATGGGCTTTTGATCATTGACTTGCAGAAAGTTTTCTGCGCGGGTTAGTGTTAGAGGCTACTAGAATACAGGGGGGCGCCAACACTGATCTTGCATACCCCTCAGCAAATGTGCAGTTGCACCCCTGTATACAGTCATGGCCAAAAGTTTTGGCAGTGACATAAATTTTGTGTTTTGCAAAGTTTGCTGCTTAAGCTGTTGTGGTGTTCATTCACATTGTTTCTAGATTATTGTGTAGAGTGATCAGATTTTGAGCCTCTCTGTGATGGTACCACGAGGCGTCGCTCACTAGCGGATCTCAGACTTCTGGAGGGGATGTAGATTCGTAGTAGTGAGTGGAAGTAGGCGAGTGCTGAGCCTGTGGCTGTTCTGTATGCAAGCATCAATGTCTTGAACTTGATTCGAGCCGCAACCGGTAGCCAGTGCAAGGAGATAAAGAGAGGTGTAACATGGGCTCTTTTGGGCTCATTGAAGTCCTGTCGTGCCGCTGCATTCTGAGTCATTTGTAGAGGTTTGATTGTGCTTGATGGAAGTCCAGCCAGAAGAGCATTGCAGTAGTCCAGCCTAGAGATGACAAGGGCCTGGACTAGAAGTTGTGCAGCATGCTCCGTTAGAAAGGGCCTGATCTTTCTGATGTTGTGCAATGCAAACCTGCAAGATCGGGCAGTCTTTGCAATGTGGTCTTTGAAGGTCAGCTGGTCATCGAAGATTACACCAAGTCGATGGGGTAATTGTAGAAGAACCTAGCTGGGTGGTGAAATCATGCTGTAGAGTGCTGTGCAGCCATCGTCGCGTTGCATCAAAATGGCCTCACATGCAAGGAAATTGCTACAAAGAATATTGCACCTGAAAGAACCATTTACCGGATCATCAAGAACTTCAAGGAGAGAGGTTTGACTGCAGTGAAGAAGTCTTCAGGACGTCCCAGAGTGTCCAGCAAGCGCCAGGACTGTCTCCTTCTGAGGAGTCAGCTACGGAATCGTGCCACCACCAGTGCAGAGCTTGCTCAGGAATGGAAGCAGGTTGGTGTGAGAGCCACTTCTCTCCAAGAAAAACGTCAAGGACAGACTGAAATTCTGCAGGAAGCACAAGGATTGGACAGCAGAAGACTGGTGCAAAGTTATTTTCTCTGATAAAGCTCCCTTCCGACTGTTTGGGACATCTGGAAAATCAATTGTTCGGAGAAGAAAAGGTGAACGCTACCATGAGTCCTGTGTTGTGCCAACAGTGAAGCATCCTGAGACCATCCATGTGTGGGGTTGCTTTTCAACCAAGGGAGTGGGCTCTCTCATAATTCTACCCAAAAACACTGCAATGAATAAAGAATGGTATCAAAATGTCCTGCAAGAGCGACTTCTTCCAACGATCCAAGACATCTGGAAAATCGATTGTTCAGAGAAGATAAGGTGAACGCTTCCATGAGTGCTGTGTTGTGCCAACAGTGAATCATCCTGAGACCATCCATTTGTGGGGTTGCTTTTCAACCAAGGGAGTGAGCTCTCTCATAATTCTGCCCCAAAACACTGCCATGAATAAAGAATGGTATCAAAACGTCCTGCAAGAGCGACTTCTTCCAGTGATCCATGAGCAATTTGGTGATGATCCGTGCATTTTCCAGCATGTTGGAGCACCATGTCACAAAGCAAGAGTGATAAAGAAGTAGCTCAAACATTGAAATTTCCCAAACCCAAACACGCACAATGATTGACAGGCAGAGAGTGTTTCTGATTGGCTAAAAAATGAGCAAGCCTCTTTTGTGCACCATTACATTTGCAGCACCATTAAACCTAGGTTATTTTGATGTTTTTTCATCCCTAACTCATCTATCTCTAATACACCACATGCATGTTAGTAATGGTAAAAGCGGTGATGTATTTCCATTGAATGTTTCTTTCTGTAAACTGGACTGTGGGTCTGTCTGACTGACAGTCTGAATTGTCTGTACACACACCTGTCAGACACTGATGGATCAGCACTTTGTCAGCCAGAATTACCTTTTATCATGACAGCTGGCGTCTCTTCCGAGCACAGGAGATAATGATGTGTGAGATACCGATCAATCCAGACCCGCTGCAGGCCTGATCCTCTAACAATGACCCCAGTGTGGGCAGATGGAAGTATCACCAAAATATTACATCATGGTCACAAATCACATCACAAATGATTTGTATCTCTAGAAATTCACTGAAGATTAAGAGGGGGGGTATAATTTAATTTAAAAAATCATTTGAAGTTTTGTTATAGGGACACAAATCTTTATAACACTTAAAATCCTATTTATTTTAATTTTTAAGGTTTGTGGAGTCTAAAATCAAGGTGTAATTTCTCAAGACACCTATTTCAGGTAGTATACACATTTTATGTGTACTATTTAAAAAAAAGCCTATACTGCACCTTTAATTTTGCATGTTTTGGAGCATTTTATGTCACAGGTCTTCATGTTCGCAGGCCACCACAGTCTCGGAATCCTCTTTGTAAACCCGTGGGGGAGTCCAGAGATATGAAAGAGAAATCGTTTGTTTTTTTGGAGAAACCATTGTGTAGGGATTGTGTTTATTCTTGCTTTTCCCAAAGACGATTAGCTTTGGGAAGCGACAGCAGTTCTGCTCCCTCCCACCGTTGGAGGAAGCACATCACACAGTCATTAAGTCTGTGACATAAATGGAGAAATGTATGCTGTGAACAGTGTTTGCTTATTTGCAATAAATTATAATAAATGTTCATTTTGACTCGGCAGACACCACTGTTCTCTTCCTAGAGAGCTACCTTTATGTGCCTACATAGATGACTGCCTTACCTGACTGCATCCTAACTGGAGTGGAATCGCAGAGTGACTGATTTGAATAAAGACACTTCAGATGTTGCACAAATAACACTGAGAAACTCGTATTGCAATAGACACAACAGTGACTGCCCAGGTTTCTTTTTTTTTTTTTTCATACAGACCTGGTAAATCACCTCTGAGCTCATGATTGGTGTTTCTTGAAAAGTTTTTGTTTCGGTAATTTTCATTCTTCAACTGATTTATTTTGTATTTATCATTTGTATATCATTTAACGGGTTGGGGTCAGTAAGATTTATTTTTCTAGGTTTTGGAAACAAAACTGTTGTGAAGTAGTTATATTTTAGCATTATTTATATACTATTATAGCATTTATTAATATTTTGAATTAGCATTTAGTTTTTTTATTTTTCATTTTCAGTTTTCATTTTAGTTTTAGTTTTGGTAATTAAACTAATATATAATATAATTACACTGAAGCGACAGCAGTTCTGCTCCCTCCCACCGTTGGAGGAAGCACATCACACAGTCATTAAGTCTGTGACATAAATGGAGAAATGTATGCTGTGAACAGTGTTTGCTTATTTGCAATAAATTATAATAAATGTTCATTTTGACTCGGCAGACACCACTGTTCTCTTCCTAGAGAGCTACCTTTATGTGCCTACATAGATGACTGCCTTACCTGACTGCATCCTAACTGGAGTGGAATCGCAGAGTGACTGATTTGAATAAAGACACTTCAGATGTTGCACAAATAACACTGAGAAACTCGTATTGCAATAGACACAACAGTGACTGCCCAGGTTTCTTTTTTTTTTTTTTCATACAGACCTGGTAAATCACCTCTGAGCTCATGATTGGTGTTTCTTGAAAAGTTTTTGTTTCGGTAATTTTCATTCTTCAACTGATTTATTTTGTATTTATCATTTGTATATCATTTAACGGGTTGGGGTCAGTAAGATTTATTTTTCTAGGTTTTGGAAACAAAACTGTTGTGAAGTAGTTATATTTTAGCATTATTTATATACTATTATAGCATTTATTAATATTTTGAATTAGCATTTAGTTTTTTTATTTTTCATTTTCAGTTTTCATTTTAGTTTTAGTTTTGGTAATTAAACTAATATATAATATAATTACACTCTACATGTATTATACTATTTATTCATATTTTAAATTAGCTTTTATTTTTATATTATCAGTTTTCATTTTAATGTCTTTAAAATGTAGGAATTTTGCTATCTGCTTTTCTCATTTTTTTATATTTCTATTAGTTTTAGTTTTAGTAATTTTAGTACTTCAAATATTTATTTCACTTAGTTGCCATAGCAACATTTCTAATGTTTACGTTTTTTTTTTTTTTTTTAGTTTAAGTTATTCATCTAGTGTTTATATGTTGTTGTTTTTTTTATTTCACCTTTATTTATTTTTAGCTTTAGTTAACAGTAACAACACTGTTGTGACATTCTCATTGCCTTTCAAATCCATAATGAAACATAGTGACCTGCAGGGTAAACACAGCCTGGCCACCCACCCTCTTCATCAAATGATATTAATTAGATCTAGTGAGTGGGTGGAATGAGTGGTTGGTCAACTGGTCTTATGATATAATGTTATTAGTGGTGTTTGTGAAGCCACACTTCCTTTTCCCCCCCCCATTATAATTTTTGAAATGGAAACTAATGATACTTCAAATTGTGTTGAAGAGAGGTGTGCTGTTACTTTTGTTGATAATCAGACTTACATATTTTATCTGACAGATGACAAAACTGGTAAAAAAAACAAAAAACAAAGGTCCAGAACATCTTTGACTTGGGTCAGTAAGTAACCACCAAATGCATATCAATAGACTGGCATCAGAAAATGTAAAAATCTTGTTGAATACTTTATTGTACTGTGCTGTACAAAACTCTATTTTCCCTGCTCTTGTTTAACACGGTGAGGCCCAATGGGCCGTGTTTACAGCAAAAACCTTCTGAGATGGATTATTATTGGGCCTCATTATAGGAGTGACTATTTATCATGCAGGAGATGCTGAATGTGGGGAATGTGAGATGGAAACTCGGTTATGGTGACACAGCTAATGTAATACAGTGAAAATTAATGGTAATAAAGCCTCATTTTCTAATGTGGCTGTGAGATTGAGCCCCTGAAGCACAATCACAGTCCTTGTTGTCTTTACAGATCTCTATTTGTCATGCTTTGCTGTCTGCGCTCGCTGGATTCTCGGTTTTAGCTGCTTTTGTTAAACCACTGGTTCTTGAGACTGTACAATATGCTATTTGCTTGCATTTCATTTATTATTAACACAGTAAAACTGGTAATTAGTCTCAACTGTCATAAAAAGGACTAAAAAAGCTTTTGGAGGTGAAATGAATTTAATGACCCTTCAATTGCTGTAAGTTTTTTTTTTTCTTCTTCTTTCCTTTTTTTCCCTCAAATGTGGTTACCGCGATAAAATAAAGGGAATCATGGTAGAAAAGAAAAAAAAACTGTGATTTATTCAGAAACTCACTAACAGACATACCTATTTTTACTGATACATGCAGTTCTTAGCTATTTTCTTAAAGAAAGTTAAATAAAGTTATTAGTCAAGCTAACAAATGACAATAGATTAACATGTTGAAAAGATAATTCTCTGATGCATAACCTTTTATTTTTCAGCTCTGTATCGTGTTTTTTTTTTTTTTTTTTTTCCTTTTTGTAATAGGACATATTTCCTATTTTGCCTGATGTTTAGCATTTATTCATACTCTTTTTAGTATGTTTGACATGATCCCAAAATTAGAGACCACAAGGTTCTTGTTGATTCTTCTGTTCCCGTTCTCCGTTTAGAGTTTGGTGCTGCCAGTAGAACAAAGCAGCAGGTACTGAGCGGTGATGAACTCATTTTGACTGGCTAATTGCTTCACAGCCAAATAGTTAATTAGGCCAACACTCAGATTATCACCTTAAGGATCAGTCAGGTACAAAAGTGAACCTATTCAAATTTCAAAATGTGTAAACCTGACACTGTGGCTCTGTTCCAACCCATAGTGGGCTGCCTGCTGTCTGCAAAGACAGCTGCCTTCTAAGGCAGCATCCAAACTGGGTTTGGTAATGTTGCACATAGGCAGCAACTCACAAATAGCACTTCACTAAAGAGTTTGGCGTTAACATGCTGCAGTTTAATTAGCTTCAAAAGTATAGCAGACACAAATATTGTGTAAAAAAGTCAATTTTAATTAGATTTGACGTTTTAGTTGTCTAATTTTAAAATGATTTGTTTGTTTTTAATTTAAAAATCTATAATCTAAATCTATCTGTTTAATTGGCTAATTTGGGGGTCCATTAAAGCTTGTTTCTAACAGGGAATAAAAAAAACCTTTCACTTTTTTTTTTTGTTTTTTTTGTTTTTGAATTGTGACTTTAAATCTCACAAGAAAAAGTCAGAATTAAGAGATATAAACTTAGACTTGTGAGGAAAAAAAGTCAGAATTGCAAGATAAAAACTAAAGTCATAATTACCTTTTTTTTTTTTTTGGTTGTGCCACAGAGTTCCACAGAGGTCAGTAAAAGTTGTTTTAAAGAAATTAATACTTTTATTCAGCAAGGATGCATTAAGTTGTTCAAAAGTGACTGTGAAGGCGAAGAGGGCATCCAGACACGGGAGGTGAACTGTGTGCTCAAGGCGGACAGCTCAGCTGCCGACAACGCCATCTGTGAGTACTTTGAGCCCAAACCCCGGCAGGAACAGGCCTGTTTAATTCCTTGCCCTCAAGACTGTGTAGTGACCGAGTTCACCCCGTGGACCACGTGCTCCAAGACCTGCGGGCTGGGCCTGCAGAACCGCGTCCGCTCCATCGTGGCGCCGCCGCTTTTCGGCGGGCTTCCTTGCCCCAATCTGACGGAGTTCCAGACGTGTGCGCCAAGGGCCTGCGAGGGCAGAGAGATGGTGTTCAGTCTGAAAGTGGGCGGATGGAGCGAATGCAAGCTGCCGTCTTTACCGCCACCTCCGACCTCCTCTGCCGCCCCCTCGCGCACCGCCCGCCAGGCCCGCCGGCGGAAAGGCAAAGAGAGGAAAGGGAACCGGGACCCGGAGATGCGCGAGCTTATTAAGAGCAAAAGGAACCGCAACAAGCTGAATCGACTAGAGGACGAGCTCTGGAATATGGAAATAGGCTACCAGTCTCGGCAAGTGGTTTGTGTGCATCGAAACGGAAGCACGGTGTCACTCAGGTTAGTGACTTTTCCCATTAGAACCATATTAATTTGACATAAATAAAAATGAGGTTGTGAGGGGTGGAAGAATAGTCTGTTCAGTGTACTGTATTGTAAATAATTTTCACAAACTTTGTTTCTGGATTTTTGTAAAAACTTAATTAGTTAAACAGTGAATGCAGTTAACATCACAGCTTTGTTCAAAAATACATTACAGTGCGATTTGTACAGTGATTTGAATGCATGTTTTTTATTTCAGAATTATTGATATTAATTTTTATATTTTCTGATATTCCTTTTATATTTTGGTGTAAAATATAACCCCCCCCCCCAAAAAAAACAATAATTATAAATAATAATAATTATTTAATGAAATAGTTAATTAACATTAATATTATTTTATTTAAAGATACTTGAAAAATATAATTTGTACAATGACTTAGATACACTTTTTCTATGATGAGCATATTTTTCATTTCTGAATTATTAATATTCATTTTTTATATTTCTTTTGAGTAGTTCAGGTTGTAAAATGTTTCATGGTGCAACTCCCCGAAAAGTTAATGATATTTACAATTGAATAAATACCATTAATATTAATAGTAATTAATTAATTATTAGTAATCACAGTTTTGTATTAATATAGTCATAATAAATTAATATTAATGTTAATATTTTCAAAAATATATTTAAAATTGCAATTTGTACAATGACTAGAATACACCTCTTCTGTGAGCATGTTTTTCATGTCTGAATTATTAATATTCATTTTGATATTTCTTTTGAGTAGTATAGGTTGTAAAATGTTTCAAATTTATAATTTATTAAATACCATTAAGTTAATATTAATATTTATTAATTTGAATAATTATTATTATTATTAATTAATTATAATTAATTGATTACTTCAGGTTGTAAAATGTCATGTGGTGTGACTCCCCCAAAAACTAAAAGATATTTATGAATGAATATATATCATTACATTATTATAATGAATATTAATAATAATTAACATTCATATTATTTATTCAAAAATACATTAAAAAAATCAATCTGTGCAATGAGTTTGATACACCTTTTCTATGATGACCATGTTTATAATTTCTGAATTATTAATATTCATTTAAATATTTTCTATAAAGTTGTAAAATGTGATGTGGTGCAACTCCCCAAAAACTCAATGATACTTATGAATTAGGAAACATCATTAAGTTGATATAAATTCATATTAATTAATTATTCAGCTTTATTAATTATTATTATTAATTGCAACTCCCCAAATACTTTTTTTTTTCTCACTTTTTTACTTTTTAAAAATTCTTGAAAAAATAGATTTTTAGAAATAATAATTAATTGATGATTATTTGATGTGCACACTATGTTTGTGTAAAAAAAAAAAGAAGAATCTATTACGCATTACTTTCTCTTGAGCCGCATCTGTTTTGTTATAGCACTAATGGCTCTCAGGCTAATAGCAGTTAAATGAGTCTTAAAACTAGGGATTCCGGCATATTTCTGCACTCCGTCAGCCGCTGACAGTCAGAGGATGATGGCTGCGTGACTCGTCTGGGTCTCCACTGTGCTGTCAAAGCACTCCCACGCTTGAAGTCTATTTTCAGCTGTAGAATGACAACTGTATATTCCCCAGCAGCAGATTGTGTGAGTACAGCAGAGTGTGAGCAGAGTATGCCTGCACTTTCCACCGAGTATTAAATGTTCAAGAGTTTTGTAGTTATTTAAAAAGTTTTGGCGCAGCCTTATAGTCCGTGTATCTCAGGCGTACAGTGTTTGGCCGTTGATATTCGTTCAAGCTCAGGAACATGGGAAAAGTTGAAAGGAAAACATTCCGAGTGTTTCAGCCAGAGGAATCTGCAGGTAATATTAAGTTTATGGAAACAGTTGAATAGCCAACGTCAAGGTTAAAGCAATCCAGCAAAGTCACATACTGTATAATATACAAAGTCACATGTACACCGTTCAAAAGTTTAGGATCATTTTTAAAACATTTTAAAGTCATTTATGCTCATCAAGGCTGCATTCATTTTAGTAAAAATGAAGTAAAAATGTTAAATATTATTACAATTTATAATAGCTGTTTTCTATTTGAAAATATTCTAAAATGTAATTTATTCCTGTGATCAAAGCTGAATATTCAGCATCATTACTCCAGTCTTCAGTGTCGCATGATCCTTCAGAAATCATTCTGATATTCCGATTTGCTGCTCAAGAAACATTTTTTTTTAATTTATTATTGTCAATGTTGAAAACAGTTATTTTGCTTGCTTTTTTGTGGAAACCATGATACTTTATTTATTTATTTATTTTTGATTCTTTGACGAATAGAAATTTCAAAAGAACAGCGTTTATTTTAAATCTTTTGTAACATTATAAATGTCACTTTTTTACAATTCAATGCATCCTTGCTAAATAAAATAATGAATTTCTTAAAAAAAAAAAAAAGTGCTTACCCCAAACTTTTGAACGGTAATATATATATTTAAATGGATTCACAAAAACAACCGTCATACCTCCAGGAGAATAAATATTAATATTTGACTTGTTTCTCTTTGCTCCTGAAATATTCATAGCTGTTTTGCTTCTTCAAGAAAGTGGAAAAAAGTTTTTCTGAAGCACTTTCTCTGTGATCAGCCAATAGACCATCACAAACAAACCATTCACACCATTCTTATTCTGTTTCATTACTATGCTTTTGTCAGTATAGTAAACCCAACAGTTCTTAGTGTAATATGTTGCCAGACATCTCATCTGTTGTACTAGTTCTTTGTGTTTGTGGCTTTACACATGCACTCGAAAATCAAAGTCTGTAAATCATATACCTTTGCTCAGTGTTATGCATACAATAGCATTGTTTAATTGAGTATTTCCTGCTCATTTTATTTAGGATTTGATGGACGTCTTCATAATGCTCCTGCTGCTGCAGAGGTTCTCCTGAATTCCCACAATTGAGTTATTCTTACATTAAAGGAGAAACATCATTCTCATTTAAATGGAAATGATGGTGTCCTCATTCCATCAACAAGCTGTAAACAACAGCTCAAAAATGTGCGACCCAGTGCATAAAAACAATGCTTGTTAGTAATATTGGGAAATTTGTGATACAGCAAAGCACATTTCAGTAGAACAGCACCGTTTGAAACCAATTTGACACTCAGGAAAAGTCAAATCCCACCCTAAACATTTTTTTCTTGTTGAATATCCTGGTATAAACATTACATTATGGAAACTTTTTTCATGTTTAACTTAAACTTCTTTAGCAAACATGGCATTGAGAGTTGACAAGTTTGATTTATTTCCATTTATCAGTTAATGATATTTTTAATTTAATAAATACCATAAAGTTAATGTTAATATTAATATTTATTTATATAATTAATATGCATTAATTTATTAAACATCTTTTAAAAAAAATCACTGTTATGAATTATTAATATTAACCATAATTAATTCTAAAAAAAAAAATCCATAAAAATCCATCTATAACAATTTTCATATTGGAAGTCTCTGTTTTTCTTATATTACAATAAAAGTTTTAAAATATAAATATATTTTAAATATGTTTTAAAAACGTTATAATTTTAAAAAATATAATAAATATTAAATATTTTTAAATATTGTATATACATATTTAAAAAATATTTTAAAAAATATATTTAGATAATTATTGCCATTGATTTCAGGCATGCATAGTTACACTGATGAATATAAATTAAACTTATTAACTACACTGAGAAAAAAAAACTGTCAATGGGTTGATATCCTTTCAGAAGGTACTAATTTACACTGTGTGACCATTTTGTAACTTCTTTTTATCTTTCTTCCTTGTGTTGGTTAATGAATTTAATTTTGCCCAGCCCTAGTCACAATTTTGATAGTAGCCCTATTTGTTTTATAGCACACAATCGCAATTCCAGCAACAGACTGGCATACTCTCCATTTCTGCCAAATAGAGTTTACCAACGGCTACTATCGCTTTTATACCTCAGGAAGAGTTATTGTGCTGCAATATGGTGTCATTATTTTGCCAGATTTTAAAATGGTTTCAAGACATCTTAATCTGGGTTTAAAGTGGGTGGAAAACAGTGCCAGTTTTGATGTTTATGTGTTTAAGAGTCTGTGCTGCCCTGAGGTGAGTTTGGCAGCCACGGCACCTAAATGAGCATTTGCTAAATGAAGCTACGCTGGAAAGGAAGCAGCCTGTAATTAGCACTAATAGCTCGTCAGCCGCATTGCCTACATAGAAAATAAGTAACTAAGAGAAATTGCTGCATTCACACTGCCCAGCATTAATTTACCTGCCTCTGAAACAATTACAAAATCTGTTGTTCAGCTGCAAATTGAGTTTAAGTTACCATGTTATTAAAGTATTAAAAGAGAAAATATTGCAGTGATACTGTGGTAAAGTGATGGTATCAGGGGTTCACATCTTTTTATTTGTTAGTTGAACCCCTGAACTATTTTATTTTATTTTATTTTATTTTATTAATAATTCTAATTTTATTTTATTAATTATATTTAATATTATATTAAATTACGTTATATTGGATTTTAATTCTATTTTTTGTTTTATCTTATTTTAATTTGTTTTAAATAAAATTTACATTTGCCCAGACATTTCAAGTAATGCTCTAATGCTGAAAATGCTGAAAATAAAAATAAGTATTGATCATATTTATTTAATTGATAATATGATTTGTTTTTTTTAATGTCTGAATTTTTTTATAAAATTTTAGTTTTTTATTTTGTTTATTTAGTTTTAGTTATTTTAGTATTTCAGCTTAAACTAAACAAAATCTTTTTCGATATATGTTTGTGTTATTTTATTTCAGTTAATTTTTATCTTGTTTCAAGTAATGAGAATATTTTTAATGGTTTTAGTTTTAGTTAATAATAACCCTGGTGTAAAGAAGTTTTATTTTCTACCATTGAAATATGTTCTTGATTACTGTAAAATAATTATCTTGTCATGTTGACTGACCAGTACTTCTACTCGTCTGTCCTGTATCAGCCAGTGTCCCCACTGGAGTCTTCCGGAGACGTTCCAGTCCTGCCTGATGACTAAAGACTGTGTGGTCAGTGAATGGAGCGTGTGGGGCTCCTGCTCAAAGACCTGCTCAGACCCTAGTGTTCCTCAGGGCACACGCTCCCGCAGCAGACAGCTGATACGGCTTCCTACCGGAGGAGGGTCTGAGTGTCCCCAGCTGGAGGAAAGCCAGGCCTGTGAACCTGAAGGGGACGGGGTGCCGCCCTGCGCCACGTAAGTACCATGAATTGCTGTATTCTCACTACATTTTTTTTTATAATGTACATGTTTTAAAGGGCTCATTGGATGCTACATGCACTTTTACAAGTTGTTTGAACTGAAATGTGTGTTGGCAGTGTGTGTACACAACCACCCTATAATCTACTAAAATCTTTCCCCCTTTCTCAAATCGAGCCGATCTCAGATGCCTGTCTGTGTGACGTCACAAAAACAGGCCCCTCCCACGATAGTTTGATTGACAGTAGCGTTTCAGCACAGACTGGACTGGTGTCTTACCTTAGACCCGCCCTGAGTGACTGTCATCAGTCCGCCATTGTTTCACCGCCGGAGCAGATGTAGACAAGAATGACTCCTAAGCGATTGATCTGTTGTGTTTTGTTGTTGGATGTAATAATGAACATAGCAGTCGTCATTTACTCCCGACATCTGAGCCGCTGAAGGCGCAGTGGATTGCGTTTGTTTTTGAAGGGAATGTGCCCCTGATCTACCTAAATGCGTTCACACTAATCATTCGTGATCCAGCTTCACCTACAGAAGAAGTGAGTGTAAGGTTTTTTAATGAATATTTGCAAATCGCCTTTCTTAATAATGTGCTAATTAGCAAGTTTCACGATGAATACAGCTAAAGTAAACAGTCTGTGAGAGCAGCTCGGAAGAGAGGGGCGGGGCCAGGAGAGCTCATTAACATTTAAAGGAAAATGCTACAAAACGGCTTGCTCTGAAAAGAGCTGTTTTTGACAGGGTAAAAAAGGTGTTTTTTACACTACCATTGAGAAATTTTAACCAAACTATGTTACAGACTTTTCATTAAGACCCTAAAGAATCATATCAACTTGTGGAAAATGGGCATCCAATGACCCCTTTAAAAACATTGACTGGTGTAAAAACATTTATATGTTATTTTATTTTTCATTTTTGCCACAGGGCCAGTAAAAATCTGAACCACTGGCTTGGCAGGGTCAGACTAAAAAAAAATATATATATATACATCTGTATGCATGATTTCATACAGTCAATATGAGTGAGTGCTTTTTGAATGGCAGATATAACACTTTCTTATTTAGACGTGACAGCCAGTCGTATCTCTGTTTGGGATCAAAGGTTTTCAGTTCATGGTTTTATGTGTGAAAATGCATCACATCATTGGAGTGATGATATTATGAAATGTACGCCAACAAATTGATATAATCTTGTCGTATCTCATTATGTGTCAACCCAGAGGAAACATTGCTGCTCAGAAGTTGCTGTTTCGTATAACTCAAAGGATTAAATGTGGTTCCTAGCAAGCCTGTCATTGAAGTTTCAACTGTTTCAGAAGTTTCTTCTTCAGAGAAATTAGACAATTGTTGACATACAGTAAAAGTACAGAGCAATATAATGAACAATCTACTGTAGGCACACTAGAAAATCGTGCCTCTATGTACATTTTTCAGAACTCCTAAAACATACCTATATTCACACCGGCTCTTGAAAACCTCTATGCGAACACACTTGCCCGAAAAAGAGCGGGGGACGAATTTACATGATATTAAAAGTGGGGGGGACACGTCCCCCGCGTCCCCCGCGTAATCTACGCCCCTGCTATACATACAGTTCACTGCAGTTTCCAGCTGAAATGAACATGGAAGTAAAACACCAACAACTTTTGTTCCTTTCCAAACAAATTATGATTACTGGGCAGATTATCAATTAATAAAGACTTACTTTTGTGTGGTTCCTTGCACAAAACTGTTATGACCTTAAAACACTTTACCATAGTGCATGATTTGAAAATAATATATTTTGACATTTGCATCACATAACCAGCTCTATATGTGTGGCTTCTCTGATGTAGTAAAGTTGCTCTGTAGCACACCTGGTACAGCGATGTACTAGTGACGTGGTACAAGTCTGTTAAACATGAGTCATGATAAAAGTGCTCAAAGACATGTAGAAACAAGGTAAAATGGCACGGTTGCTTCAGCAAATGCATTTTTTAAATCTTTCATATGCTGTCGTTTAGGTTTAGAATCCCATTTAGTGTGGGTGGTACATTATTTTCAAAAATAATAACGCATTACACTTTTAGCATCACTCACTGGATATTTAATTTCCCAACAGCCGCATTACGTGCAACAACCAACATAATAAACATTGCCAGATTCAAGTTCATCCATTTCGGATAAAACTGAACGTGCTTTTTGGGGCCACTCGAAACATGCAAGCAACATATCATTCTGTATAGGATTATTATAGTTAACTAAAACTAAAACCATAATTTTATGGTAACGTAACTAAAATAAAATAAACATTAACTGAAATGAAATAAAATAAAATTGGCAAGTTTTTTCTTTCATTTAGTTTAACTTGATATACTAAAATAACTAAAACTAAAACATTAATAAAACAAAATAATAATAAATATGTACGCAAAATGACAAACACACAACAAAATAACTGAACTGAAAAAAAAAGAAAAAAAAATGCATATTAAAAAATAAATAAAAACTAGGCATATTAAAAACTAAACTAAACAAATATATAACAAAAATTAAAATGAAAACAAAAAATATATAAAAATAAAAAATAATTCAAAATATTTATTAATACTATAGTATTTCAGTGATACTAAAATAACACTGCTGTAGAATTGTCACCACATTTTTCCAGCCTGGGTTGAAAATGAATGTAAATAGAATCTCAGACCATTTGGTTTGATAGAATTTGAATTCATTTTGAAATCTCTCACTGTTATCTTGGCAAATCTGAGCACAGTTGGAGACATTATCGAGATCTCTTCTGAATCTCTAAAGGAGACGCGTGCAATGGTCTTTTTCTCTGGAGGTAAATCTAAGAAGCAGGAGAACTGTGTAACTAAAACACACTGAGCTAATTTGCGATCGATTTAGTATTACTGCTGTCAAGGAGAAGCAATTGAGATGTTAACGATATCTCATTCGGGATTTTCCTATCCTGCGGACATGTACATGAAACAAGCAAAAAAAACAAAAACAGAAGTCACTTCTCAGCATGATGAACTGTAATGCTTTCTGCTCTTCATGGAGCAATGCCGGGGTGGAACGGGAGGCCCTGCCGGAAGCCGCTTGACCCCTGCTCTGCGTGAGCGGTGGTGCCAGTGAGAGTCAGCACATGAGCGTATGGAGACGGGGTGAGACGGATCGGGCTGGTCTGTGGTCCCGAGCCAAGAGAGATGCACTGACTAATGGAAGTGATCTTAAGAGCTCGGTGACGCTGCTTCTAATCTAGTTCTCTCACAGATGGCCTGCGCTGGCTCGCCGTCACAGGGCACACAATGCTTTCTGAGTCTCCCACGTACTATGAACAGGCAGCTCGAGAAGATAATGGATTTTTGCAATTCTGTTTCGCACTATTGCGAAAGTGGGAAAGAGAAATCACAAATGACATCTCTTTAATATCGCAATTTTTTTTCCAAGACAGAAATGGGATTAAATGGAGGTTGAATAGAGATTCTGAAGTCTTTTCAGACTAGAAAATCAAATGTGTCTTAAGGTTTAAGAGATCTATCCATCCACCTACCTATTATACTGTACATCCATCCATCCACCAACCTATTAACCATCCAGCCATCCATCTACCAGCTTAATTAACCACCTACTTATCTACCTTCCTATCCATTCACCAATCATCCATCTATCCATCCAACAACCTACCTACCCATCTACTTATCTACCTACCTATCCATCCATCAACCAATACATCTACAGTACCATCCATCCATCCATCCATCCAACAACCTACCTACCCACCTACTTGTCTACCTTCCTATCCATTCCTATCCACTTACCTGTCTATCCATCCATCCATCCATCCATCCAACAACCTAGCTACCCACCTACTTGTCTACCTTCCTATAAATTCACCAATTTACATATCCATCTATCCATCCATCCAACAACCTACTTACCCACCTAATTATCTACTTTCATACCTACCAATCCATCCATCCATCCACCCATTCACCTATCTATTATCCATCCATCCAACAACCTAACACGTACTTATCTACCTTCCTACCTACCTACCTACCTACCTATCCATCCATTCATCCATCCAACAACCTACCTACCCACCTACTTATCTACCTTCCTACCTACCTACCCATCCATCCATCATATTCCAATTAAATACCTGAATTTTAATATAGGTGGCAAACAGTATACATAATTGCTCTTTGAGTTGCAGTTTTAAATAATTGCATTTTAATTCTGCTAAGTTCATATAATTGTTATTTTTAACTAGAAACATTTGTAAAGCAAAATGCTTGAAGTATGAAGTTTTGTAGACTTTACAGATTGTGAGAACGAAACATAGATATAAATATAT